AAAAGTTTGGTTTTTTAAAACCCCAGCCAGTCTTCCCCTAGCTAGCCTTAACGTAGCTGCCAGGATGATTCCTGTTTTTATCACAGCCGGGGTCCGTTGGCCACCATTCCTGTCCGACTACTTGTGCTTGGCCGTTTCCTCACCTCTCAGCAGGTACCTCCAGTGAGGTCACAGCTGGAGAGGCAGCCAAAATAAACCCTGACTGTCCTGTGACATACGGTCACTCCCCCTCCACACTGCATGTCGTCCTCCGTCATTCTTATAATCCAGAGGCTCTAAACAGGACCATTGTCCTCATGAAGAAAGTCCTTGGTTTCTGCTGGTGTGTGTGGAGACAGGCTGTGCTGTGTGTTATCTGAGTGGCTGTCTGCCAGTGGCAGATCGCTGGCTCCTCCACCGATACGCACAGAATAAAGGCATTACACATCGGCCTCTGAAGGAGCAGGGATATCATTATTCCTGTGAAATAATACCCCCCAACCTGCCTACAGTACCTTCCCCAGCTCCCTCTCTCTGTCATCCTGTCTAATCCCCCCCTCCGCTCCATCTTACCCCCAGTCTCATCTCTTTTATCCCTCTGTGTTCCTGTCATCGCTGCTGCTTCTCACACAGCTGCTGTGTTTTCTTCACAGAAAACGTGAGGAGGACTCAGCCTCCGCAGCGAGCTGGTTCTTCATCTCTCCTTCAGACCACGTGGCACAGGGGCAGGGGTCGCACTGCAGAGAGAGCCATGCAAATAAAAGGCGTCTTAAAAAGCTGAGCAGAAAGTAAAACAAGCAAAAACAAAAGGTCAGTGAATAGAAATGTGGATAAATGTCAACGATGAGCAGAAAGAATCAGAATGTAACCCTGTTGTTAGAAATGTAACGCCACCTGGGTTACTAACATTTCTATCAGCATCCTGAGGAAACATGATTTAAAAGAAAGAAGCTAAATGTTGACACTGAACCAGTTCACTTACAATGTAATTGATTCGTTACCCATTCATAACAACCAAAGCTTTATTTAACCAACAATAACTTTACCTTACTAACAAGTATTAGCTGTAGAGCTCCACTGTTGTCCAGACACTATTAACCCATCAGTGACCACAGTGTCACACTGGGCGACCTGTTCCTTCATCACATGAACACACACGCTGTGCTGCTGAAAACAGTTCCATCTTCAGAAACATGCTGCAGGTACTACCCCACACGATGCATGAAGTCACACGATCAATACACAGCTCGGTGTAACCTCTGATGTGACCACAGTGTATCGATTGATCAGCCCCTACGAGCACTGACGTACTAGGAGCATGTGGAGGATGACCCCTGTATTACCAGGCAGAGGCACTGAAGCTCCACTGGGTGTGTTATCAGACACGTTTGCTGGTTTGCAGCAGCCTTCTCCTGTGGTCATTGGAGTTTCACAGTCCTACTCTTGATGAACTCATTACTACTCACAATTTGCATGTCATACAAAACCATAGCACGTCTCTCGCTGCAAAAATATTGCCAGGGGACATAATCCAGGAAATGCAACTGCCAAAACACATTAGTGGTGTATACAGTAAATTTCACTTCTAGGGAGACTGTTGTTGTTGAAGCTGCATAAAGTTTAAGAACAAGGATTAAAAAGAAAGAAGCTAAATGTTGACACTGAACCAGTTCACTTACAATGTAATTGATTCGTTACCCATCCATAACAACCAAAGCTTTATTTAACCAACAATAACTTTACCTTACTAACAAGTATTAGCTGTAGAGCTCCACTGTTGTCCAGACACTATTAACCCATCAGTGACCACAGTGTCACACTGGGCGACCTGTTCCTTCATCACATGAACACACACGCTGTGCTGCTGAAAACAGTTCCGTCTTCAGAAACATGCTGCAGGTACTAGCCCACACTATGCATGAAGTCACACGGGCGACTGAAGACATTATTTTAGGTCACTGAGCAGGACAATTCATACACTGAGCTCTGAGTCCCTCCGTGGCTCGTCTGGGACTTTGGAGCCCGACATAAAATGAACCAATAAACCTCCAGGACAAAAACACAATGCATTTATTCCCACATTTACACAAGCGCCTTGCTCCCCACACACACACACACACACACTGTGGCTGCTGCGGCGTGCACGTCTGCTGCTCTCAATGTAAGATGCCCTGAGGTGGTGACAGTTTGCTAAAGTGGAGATCCTTTATAGCTCTTCTACTGTGATGATTCCCTAACAAGCCACATTTGGCCACATCAACCTGCAGCAGTCTGATAACACACAATAGAGGAGGCTCACACAAACAATAGCTCTCTGATCTGTGGACTGTGCTAGCTGAACTACAGCACACACATCCATTATTAATAGCTTGCTTTTAATTTTATTTGCCCTCACTGATCAGTTTCATTAAGAGGACTCGGGGAACATAAACAGAGTTTACTTTAAGCCATTAACCAACAACAGTACGTTCAATAGCAGGAATCAATCACTGACGCACCAGAAAGTGAGTGAAACACCAGCTTTGTGATGCAAGGCTATTACTGTAAATCATACAGCAACTACAAGTGAGGACAATCAGGCTCAATAATGCATAATTTGTGCTCAGTGTGGATGTGGCAGTGAGATGTGAGCTAGCACAGATGTAATCAGAGGAAGGTCTCCTACTGATGTGGCATACGTAATGTGCAGCTGTTCT